GCTCTGTCCGGAAACGCCTTGGTGGGGCTTCAGCTCTGCGCATCATATTGCGCAGAGATCAGCTAAGCGTCAGTACGCTGCAGCCCCGAAGACATCAACTCATAAGGTTCCGATTGTTCTGTCCGCCGCCCAATCTTACGGCCCGCCTAAGCCTTCAACACATAGAACGGCACGTACCCATGTGCATGTTGCAAAACATGGCTGGACCTTCAAGAACTTCATGGCAGCTTCAGAACAAGCCACAAGGCAGGCTCCTGTTTTCCCAAATTGCTCATTTGCAATCCTGGAGGATTTCAAGACCTCTCGCTGCCGAGCTTAGATGGTAATCGGCCCTATGCACTTGTACTCCAGTCTCATGCTTGCTTTACAGAAAAATCTCGGCTAGCCCGGAAGTCCAAAGTGAAACGGCTTGGGCTCGCAGTTCTTCTGCGGCCTGTCGAGCTGCCACCACTCCCTGTCGCAAGGGGGGTTCTGCAGGTAAGTGCAGCGCTGTGGATTGCGACACAGTAAGTGAAAGCCAATCGCAACATGGTTTTATGATGTCGTGTGTGAGGGCGCCCTTTCGCCAGGGCGTCGGGTGTTGATTTAAATTCTGTCATCGCGGCGTGGCCTCCTTCGCGAAAAAGAACTCGCCCAAAAACATACATATATGTAGATAAATACATATGCATATGCACATATCCCAAACCCCCAAAACCTATCAATGAGCTTTCGCGCTGCTGTTTTGTGCATGTTCCTGTGCAGGGTGGGTGCATGGTCCTTTGGGTAGGCGCTTTCCCTCGATGCACACAAACTTGAAGCTATCCATAGCTCAAAGGTTCGAATTTCACGCCGAGCAAACAAGCGGAACCAGGCGATACACACATACACACACACGTATCAAGCAAAGGCGGCACGCACAGTCGCACGTGAGCGCATGCACGCACACGTAAGCGCACCGCACGCGTGTGCGAGCGGACGCGCGCACGCACGTACACACGCGCACGTACACGTACACGTACACGTACACGTACACGTACACGTACACGTACACGTACACGTACACGTACACGTACACACACACACACACACGCGCACATTCTCACGTCCGTGTGTGCGCCCCCAACAATCACAAGAGTTTCAGGAATACTCAAGTAGGCATGATCCCAGTTCAAGAAGACGTTACAAGCAATGAAAAGCATCTCAAACCAACATGGTTGGCATGACATCCTGCTAGACAAGTTGCACAAGCTTTACCGGCTGACTGTCGGCCTCACTGCCACAGGTAGCGCTTCTTTTTTGAGAGCGGTGGCAGAGAGGCCACTGTCGGCTGCGCCTCGCAGAGAAACATCAAGAAAGCGGGAGAGCTTCCATGTTGTGAACAGTGTTCGTGAAACAAATGCGCGAGCATTCAGCAACATCGCACTTCAGGGGCCAATGTGTGTATATGGTGGGCGGGTGGTCGCGCGGCAGATTCCGCATATCCTAATGCTTTGGTGCGCCTGCTTTTGCCTCCGAGGAGTTAGCTGCTTCCTGCCCCAGGCTGAAGATGCAAGATGTCACAAGACTGTGTCATGTAATTGGGGGCGCGGCGGGGGGGGGGGGTCGGGCGGGGGGTAGATCAGAATGCTAAGGGTGCCTTAAGAAGGGTTTAGGGTTTGGGGTTTAGGGTTAAGGGTTATGTAGATCAACCCCCCAAATGGATGGGAGGAGCACTTTTCGAGCAGCGTGTCCTGTCTGGAAACTGGCTGTAGCAGGTGCTCATGGCTTGCCCCTTCCTCGGGTCGTTTTCAGAAGTACGTGCACGCTGACGAGAATTAAGAAGCTCGAGGCTCGCTTGGGATGCCGAGGGCGCTGCATTGATGGGCCGCGGTTGAACCGTGGTGTGGTGGACCGCGCTGGATCTGCCAGCAATGCATTCACATCCACACGCGACTCTGAGACTCTGCACGGCAGAACAGTCTTAAAATGCATCGCCAGGCGGTGAGGTTTGTTGGACAAACCACGAGTGGCTTGGACATGGACAGGACGGAGGAAATTTTATCTCCAGCCTGCGTCAGCTAAGACAAAGTCCACGAGGTTGTCGCGCTTTTGCAGTGGGCGACGCTCAATCGGCGGCACCTGTGCCAAATCACCACGGACCACGTTTCACCATTCGAAGCGCAACTTTGACATACTGTAAGTTCCCATCACTGCGGCCGGGCCTTGGGCCGACTGTTGGATCGAGGCATTCGCACACAGCCGCGCGAAAGGTCCCGTGACATTGACTCCAGTCTTCGCCGGTCAAGACCTGAAGGACAAACATGGAATGCTGTGATGATGCTTGTGCAGCTGAAGAGTAGAACCCCTCCCCTCTGCACTCATCTGCCAAGTATGTGTGTGCGGAGGGAAGGACAAAGCCTCACCTTACTTCAGTACACTATGCACGACAGCAAACCCCAAAAGTCTGGCACCATTGGCAAACAGCGCCAAAGCCAGAAACTTACAGCAAATCACGAAAGCAATTCTACATGCCGCTTAACAGACGGTTTGCCCGTCTCCCAGTGTCTCCTTTTCCGTTCAAAAAGTCTCGTTGAGGGCTCCCGCTTCTGAGGTGCTGGCCAGGTATGATGTACATCTGACTCGGTGGAGAGTCCAGTCTTTCAAGACTGGAATGCTTCCAGTCTTCGCTGGTCCTGGAGAATCGCTTGTGCTTTGACTACCAGCCCCAAGCAATCCAGCCATCTTGAACCTCCAGCCAAAACCGCAAAAACCGCGGTCACTCACAAAAATGTTCCTAGGACCTGCCAATGTGAGCGTGAGCCTGGCTTGAAGCTGCGCCGGCAGTGCAGCGGCTGCGGCTTCTCTGGCGACCTGCAGACTATGGGGGCCTCCCTAGGCAGTGTGTTGGTCCTTTTCGGGTTTTCCAGCCGGTTGAAGTCTACACATGTCTGCACTATGAAGCCTCTGCAGCATTCCTGTTCGCTTTTCGTTACTAGATATCGTCCTTTCTCATCTTGCCACTATCCCTGCGAAACCCACGGCAGGCACTATGCACCTCCCCATACTGAAACCCAACCACGGTTTTTGCACTCTCCTTTGGGGGGGTGTCCCTGCGCCTCGCTGTAAGCCTTGGCGGCATCCAGCTCCGGTTCCTTCACCTCCTGTACGCTGCTGCCCGGGCTAAAACGCTCGGATGGTCCCGGCGGCGCCATCATGGGCGGCATGGGCGGCTGCTCTGGCTCGTGCTTTGACGTTGTGACTCCCTCGGCGCGGCTGCGATGTGGGTGCTCTGGCTGCTCTGGCTGCTCTGGCCGGAGCTTTCGTGCCCACGGTGGTGTGGAGACCTGCCAAGACATGTCTGCCAAACCAAGCCAAGACCATATAGCAACAAGGCAAGCCGAGAAGGCCTGCGCGTGTGCAGCATCGAGATGCAAGCAAGCTATTGGTACATATGTAAGTATACAGAAGGATATCGCTGCTCATGTCTTTCGACTTGGAACGGGCTCGAATAGGAGCAGAGTCTGGAAACCATGTAGGCTTGCCTCCAGACCGAGTGCATCCGCAAGACCAAATCCAAATCCAGCTATGTCCTGGATGCACAACTCGTTGGTTCACATTGTCGTTGATTTGTGTTGCTTCTTGCGACATTAGATGTTGTGACGGTAATGCCTCGGCAAAACAGCGCCCGAGAAGGTGACGGCTATTTGAAAGTTCCACTTGAAAACTTGCATGGTTGGCACGGCTTCTCCGCGTCGTGAGGCAAAAGTCGCAAGACTTCTATTGCAAACTAATATAAAACACATTTCTGAAGTGTTTTCCGGATTGTTCGCAGCCCAGCCACTTCGGAGATCTCTTCGATTTCTTCATTCTTGGCCTGCGCAAGCAGACTGGACGACTAAAGCGCGTGAAATGCTAATATGTTATTTCCTCGACGAATGATGCTGCGAATGTTTTGGACGAATCATGAATTCATCGCTGGCGATGCTCACTGGAGGTGTAGTTAGAACAGTGGATCCGAAACCGTGCCGTTCTATGCCTCTTCCGCGGCGGCTTCGTCCAGGTCGAGGTCCAGAACCAGAGCTCTACTTTTCTCCTAGTGAGGCCAGCAGCAGCAGCAGCAATGACAACTATGGTGCGACTTTATGTCCAAATTGTCCAACATGTGCAGCAGTAGATGCAGTAGGCACCCTAAGTCCGAAACATGTCGGAAGCGTTTGTGGAAAGCATCCTGAAATTCTGAGACTGTCATTTAAATGCATTTAGCAGCCACTCTAGCAACCCAAAGGCGTCCCCAGAGCTTGAAGCAATGCCGATACACAGCCAACGCCAACGCCCAACGCAGCGGCTTGGCCTGGAGATCTCTCTCCCTCGCCGACGGCTGCCGCGGGGGGCGGTACGGCGGATAGCCTTCCTGCAGGCACTTGGACCTACGATACACTACGACACACTGACAAGCGGGGCTGGCGGATTGAGAAAACAATTCAGCATGCCCGCCGAAGTTTCTGAGGTGCAGCTGACATGTTCAAAAATATTTCACTTATCAGTTAAGACCTTGGCACAGATTCATGGCTTAGTCTCTATAACCCTAGAGCTTTGGCATACCGTCCTCGAACCGGGCTGTCTCGCTGGCCCGCATCTGCTCTGCGAATGCATCAAAAGCTTGGCTCTGTGAGTCCAAGCCACTGGGCTGAGAGCATTCCACGGCCTCTCTGACACGGGAAACGCGTCCCGAACTTTGATTGAACTATATTCAGCTGCAACGCAAAGAAAAACTCTTCCTTTGGACGCACTGGTGTCCGACGTACGTCTGTGCTCTCCAAACGGCCAGGCTGGGGGGAGAAAACAGGCAACTGCTTTGCTTAGCACTCCGCTCCCTCCAACTCTTGACGAGAAATGTTGGGTGCCTTCCGTGTGATGCTCGGCGCACGGCTGCTTCTGCCAGCTGCGCTTGGAGCATGATCCTCCTCAAAGTCACTATTAGTTACATGGATGTGCTCTTATGCGCATGCTCCGCAGTTTTCAATCGTTGACATGTCAGATCATGTTCGCACAATTCGCACGTAAGATGGAAGTCACTGGCAGTCGCGCTGTTCAAACGATGGCTGCCTCCTGCTTCGGAGCTTTTCGGCGGCCGGCTGGGTTCACCTCACGCTTTCATCACATCAGCTCTCGTCGCCAAACTTTGGCTTCTTAGGGGTACCCAAGCTAGGTCACATAGGCAAAGCCTGTCAAGCTGTGCAGCTCCAAAGCCATAATCGCACACCCTGCAGGGCAGCTGCAAACAACAAATAGTATGCGCCCGGTTTATAGACCTTCCCAGCGACCGAAACTTGTTGACCCCTATTCCCGTCCAAGAGCACACAAATGAACATCCAGTACAAGGCACGGTGAGGCCCAAAGCAGTGGCAAGACTTCGGTCAAACTCCTGCGGCATTGGCTAGCTTCCAGAGTTTGCAGGTTGCCCCGCGTCCGGGATGAGACCCTGACCAACCATACAAGAAGCCTTGACTCTCAAATAGAAGGGTGTGCGCGATGCTTGCAGCTTTCAAGGCCAAGCAGACATCTAACATCTACCAGTCAAACTTGCCTGAGCGTGCGCCTTGTGCTCTATGAGCCCTAAACCCTAGCGATACCAAAAGCCCTGCAAACCAACAGCCCTAAACCCCCCTACAGCTACATAGTCCTACAGGCTGTATGAATCCTGTAAGCGTCATAAACCCTGCAAGCCTGAGCAGGAGGAACTAGAACCACAAGCCCTCAACACTCAACAGAAGCCTTAAACACCCCCATCCATAAGCCCGCTAAGCCTACTATAATCTGTAGACCCAACAACCCTAAACCCTAAACCCTACAAGCATCAATGTCCATGTTTCCCGTGCCTCCGGCTCGGGCCCTTTGGGCTTGGATGACTCCATCGCTTTGTTCAAAGCTTCACCGGCAGCCTCCGAATTCGGACACGCCGAGTAGGGTTTAGGGTTTCGGGTTCAGAGTTCAATGGATCACACTCGGACAAGCCAGGCGGGGCACACACTGTCTCAAAGTCTCAGGGTTTAAGGCTTAGGGAATTTGAACAAGAATCCGGGACCCTTGACTAATTTACGGTTAGGTTATGGTAGGAACAGCCTGGGCGGATCCGGCCTGTTTTCAGATCTACTCTCTCTCTCTCCCTCTCTCTCTCTCTCCCTCTCTCAAGGGAATGTCCAGTAGTTGCGAAGTAAGGCTATCCACTTCTTAGACACTGACACCACTTCTTACAGCATACTTGCTTGCATAAACTTGACATCTGAAGTTGGTGTAGGTTCAACTTCGAACGGTGCCCAGATGTCCGCCCGTTAAGTTAGCAGACAAGCGTTTCAACAGGCGAGATACAGGTAGATCGCCATTTCAGGGCTCCCAGGTTCATGAACAAAGGAGAAAAAACTTCTGAGATCAGGTAATAGTGCTCTGAGTCCCAACCTTCAATGCAAAGTTGATCGATCCACCAGAGCCCCGATTGGCATCGCCGAGGATATAGTCATTCACCTCCTTAGGGCGACATGTGCTGGGGCCGTTGCCTCACATGGGTGAAAGAAGCATGCTGAATGACAGGTTTGTCGGCTGCGCAGTTCGATCATGACGCCGGACTCTGCTGTACAACGTGCTTAAGTGTAGTCAAGAGAGCCACAAATCTAGTTTCCAAACTCCTCACCTAAACGCTTGGCAAGTGTGAATTCTTGATATGATATCATCATCATCATCATCATCATCATCATCATCCACGAACACTGTTGTCGCTTCCAGCACGCCGGAGAGGTAATGTTGAACATTCGTTCGTCGAAATTGTGCCCCCAGTAGAACAAGTCTTCCGAGCTGCGAAGCCACACTGCCTCATGGCATCTGTGACGTCATCGCTTGCGCGGCTACGCCCGCCAGTCAGCATATCAACCTGGCAACACAAGAAAGTCGGAGAAAGCTCTTGCGTGGCTTGGGCAACAATTTGCAGCGCAGTAGTCCAGCAGTCTATAGACTCGGGACAATTAAGCATATAGTGCCAGGCAATATGTACGTGACGTAACATAGCGAGGCAGGAATTGCTCCACACCTGCTGTACCTTTATTTTTTGAACGTTTTCGTGTTAATGGCCTATTTTATCCTGATATGTCAATTTCTCGGCACTGGTCATACGATCTTGGAGCTCTGGGGCCGACTTGCTCTGCATTCAACTTGGCTGCCTGCCTCTGCCCGATCTAGGGCTTCAGTCAAAGCCTGCAAGGCCTCAGCCCGACATCGACACACAGGGTTCGAGTCGTGGTCTTGGGGCCTCAAGGTGATCAACAACCGATTAAGTTGGGTTTTGAGCCAGTAATTCAATCCAACTCAAGCATTTTCAGCCCACCGAGCCCACAAAATCTCATCCTGTGAAAACAATATGCAAACAAAAAAACCTGAAATGACATGAAGCACTTGGTGAAATCTCCGTGCCAAGATGCGAAGTTCTTCGGCGGCTCCTCCTCGCCTGGGTGAAGTGCCAAGGTCCGATGGGTCAATGAGCTGTGGTCAAACGAGTACAGAACTCTTTCGTGATCATATCCTGCTATCTACGGTGTGCTCAGTGACGATTCTCAAGCCCAAGACGATCCGAGAGAGACTTACGTATGTACAGAACTGCGAAGCAGGGGCCAATCGACAATACATGTTTAGGTTTTTCCATGGCCGGAAGCTGACACCTCTATGGTCCGTCGCAGCATGCCACGGCAAAATGAAAGACTTGGCTTGGCATGACATGTAGGATCATGTAGGATCATGTAGGATCATGTAGGATCTGAGGCGCTCGTGACGGGATGGGCGTCGTAGCTGTCGCAACTTTGCCTCCGTTCCGACGCACGGTCAATGCTTTTTTGATGAGAACACCCTGCTCCACTGGTGTACCACATCCAATTCTTGCAGGGGGCGGCTGATGTGCTTGAGGTAGCTGAAATGGCTGAAAAGGATGCTGAGTGGGCTGATGAGGTTGATATTGCTGGAAGCTCTGCATCCGCATTTGCTGGATCATCTGGAGCCTGAGCTGACTTTGCTCAAACCAATCCCCATCTTCTGGTTCGTCGGGAAACTCAGCTACGACTTGATGATGATTAAACCCTCAACCCTCAACCCTAAGCCCTAAGCCCTAAAGGCTGGAACCAAGGCCATGCTTGTGGCATGCAGGCCCTTTGCCCAAGAATTTCAAAAAACCCATCGCCAGCGTCTTCGAGCCAACTATTATTCCGAACTGCACACACCCTCAATTCTAACAGCCAGAAATCACTCTATATATATATATGGACTTTGTATATTATATTATATATATATCTCACATAAAATGTACATACAACAGCTTACCGACGCCAGGCGGCTGCAGCCGTTGCTCGTAGTCGAACTGCTGCACCTCCGTCGGCCACGGCCCAGCCACCGGCCATGGCTGCATCGGCTCCTGAGCTTGGTGTTCCAAGGCTGGGGGGCTTTAATATTGGAAAGGTACTTTAGCGTCAACGTCCGGGTACTTGCTCAAGGGTCTGGGAGTCACTGGGTGTCAGCCTCGAACTTCGACAAAGGCTGTGGGAGATGTCCGATCATCCGATCACTAGACGCCAGAGGCCCTTCATTGGGCGGCATCAGCTCCAGGCTCGGAGAACACGCAAAACAAGTCCACTGACAAGAATCAATGGGGTTGCCGAGATTACCAACCCCAAGCTGCAAACTCCAAACTTGTGCCGTCTCGCGTCTGCGTGTACAGGCTCGGCCATATTGGGCACCTTCGCCTCCTCGCACATTGCTCTGCTTGCACTTGCGAGCGCAGAAAGCCTACTTTCAGCAAAGCACCTGGAGCTCGGGCTCTTCGTGGTCTGTTTCGACAAAGGGCCACTGAGGCGTTTCTGGACGGGCGTCCTGCCAGCTCCAAGCTTTCCATGCCTGTAACTTGAGGCTTCATGGGCAGTCCGCAGAACCCGGCAACCATTCAAGCAGAACTGCCAGCTGTCCAAGGAAAAAGACAACCTATACAACCTGATACAGCGGAGAACCCCGGTTTCACGATCTATTCAGGCCAACTCGCCCTCTTGCCTCTGACCTATGGCCGAAGCTTCGCTTCAAATTGGTTCACTGCTATTTTTCTATGTAGCGGTTGTGTCGTGTGCCCCAAAACACTGCATCAAACAGTCATAAACCATAGCCTCCAGTTCCTCATGGACGTCGGCGACGTCAGAGGGATCCTGCGCCCCAGCAATACATGTGATGTGGTATCGGACACATGCCCCACTGGCCTACACAAATGGCCAACCTCACGTGCCCTGCAAGCAAGTCGTGTGACTTCAGCAATACGACATCTGAAAGTACATGCAAGCGCCGGCATCAAGGACTTTGTACTTTACGTTCGATGCGGGCGAGACGGGCCGAGCCATGTAAAACCATCGAGTGGACCCGGCATGCAACGAGTGTTGATATGCAGAGACCCTCAACTGACAGCGGGGTTCTCCAAAACAACATGCGAGTGAGGGAACTAGCTTAGAATACTCCGCACGTGGACTTCGCAATGCCGATCCTGCTCTGCAGGCGCTTCTGCTTTGGCAGTTGTCTGCCCCGCATCCTCTTTTCAGGGGTCATGCAAGGTTCAAATCTTCTGCTGCCGGAGTTGTGTGGTTGAGGCTTTCATTATTGCAGCTTAGGGTATTCAACCCTCAAGGTGGAGACGGATGTCGAAGTCAAGACCTTCAAGGTTGTAACTTTGTACATGCAATGCAAATGCTACACTCAATCCTAGAGGTCAAAATATGATGTAGTCTGAAAGAAACAACATAATTTATGTACATATATGTATACATATATATATATCTACATATATACTTATACATATACATATACATATACATATACATATATACATAGAAGCAACCCTTAAGCCGACACCTTCTAACCTTAAACCCTACACCAATACTCTGCATTTACACAGAGGTTCCTCCCGCACCTCGGCTTTTGGCGGCTCCGAGCGCAAAGCCGCGGCATGGCCTGGTGGGAGGTAGTAGATGGCCGTCCTCCTGAAGGAGACGCGGGTTTAGGGTTTATAGGGTATAGGGTATAGGGTATAGGGTTTAGGGTTTAGGGTTTAGGGTGCGGGTGAAGAGGGTTTGTTGGGTTACGACGCTCACTCGCACAAGGCCGGCAAGGTTCATGGGTCCATTATGGTCCATTGAGTCAAACAACTAACTTCAGAGGAGAACATTTTTTGGTTTAGGGTTTTGGGTTGTTTAAAGGTTTTTGGGTTTAGGAATCACTGCCCACATCCCTCTTGGCGTTTTAGCTTACAAATTCTTGACGCAAGACTATGCCCACGATTGACCGGAGATGCCGAACAAATGCTATGCACAAGATTCATGAGAAAAAAAGAAAAACAGATTCTTCAACTTTGACTTTCGGGCAAACATGGAAGACATGCAAGGCTCCCTGAAGGCGCCCGTAAGCAAACGGGAACCAAGCCAGGAGCAGGCGACGTGGGCGGTGCAGCGGCCATTGCCCAAAGGTTTCTCAAGGTAACTCTTGTTCTTCGTTGCTGTGGGTGCATAAAGTACCTTACAGTGGCCACCTCCAACACTCGGAACCAATTTAAGAACCAATCTGCTGCCCGCACTTGGTTGTTCGTTGCACGAAACGCAGCCTTATGATGATGACCTATTACACTGGTCTTGCGTCACGCAATCAACGATCCTCAAATCATGGACAAAGTGCGCGGCGTTGGAACGGCAAAATTCCACATGTTCAACGCACTCCTTCCATCGTATGCGTGTGCCCAAACTGTATGCCAACTCAAACACTCAGAATTGAGGCGGACGCTCCAAGCCACGTGACTGCATCAGTGGCAGCTGGAACCTGCGGAACTGTGTGAATGTCGTGCAAGGACTGCTGTGCTGCGGCCATGCGTCCAAGAAACCATTCTTCCATCATCTGCCTTGCCTCGAAAGCAGCTTCAACAATTTTTGGTCCCCCCCCCCCCCCCCCCCCCGCTCGTCAACTGACATCATTCCACCATACGCCACCGGGAATACTGTCGCCAACTTTTGATGCTAGGAGAAGCATGCAAAAAACTGAGCTTCACACAACAGGTGTATTGCGAACCACCATGAAATGATCCGAGATGTTGATGCTGACACGCCTCACATTGCACATCATGGCACCTTTTCGCCTGACTTCAAAGGTGAAGCGTGGATTGAGGGCCGTGCCGCACGAATTCACCGTCTTGCGCAGGCTTCCCTGAGATACCGGGCCCTATCCACTACGTATCTCGGGACAATGCTTGTAGCAGGAAAACGCGAACTGAGCTCGCCACGCGACAGTGCAGGAGCAAAAAAGAACAACTTCTCTGTCCCACCTTAATGGCACGAGCAACTGGATCAACGCAACATCGTTTTTCAGGCTATGCGGCGATACATGGCTCTTCACTCCAATAAGATGTGCGGCGCGATATGCTGCGATGCATCGGAGAGCACCATCTGCGGGTCGTAAGTGTCCCGCCCCCTAATCCCACCCCATGAACATTGCCTTGCTTTATTTGGCACTTTTCGTGCCTTGGAACCCCGCCTCTCCGGGAGCGGATGGTGCATCACGACTAGGGGGCATTTGGGCTGGTGATAGGGGTCCACCCATCCACTCCACTCTGCGCCCGCCCCCCTACTCCCCAAACCTCACCTCTGTCCGGACCCGGTCGGTTCCTTGCTTGCCTCCCACTCCCGCATTGGAGACCCCCAAAAGGGAATGATTGCACGAAGCCTCTCAAAGCCCTGAAGCCGAACAGCACCTGGCCCCAGGGCGAGGAGGGTCGCCTGAGGCTGCAAGATGCAGCAAGTTCTTTCCGCGAGCTGGGGGTTGATAAGAAACATCCGCGTCCAAGATCTTGTCGCTTTGAGAGCAGGACACCATCACAAGTGCAGAGTTGACACATGCACCATTCTGGTCCCAACATTTGCTTAGCAACCTGTGCTGGCATCCTGGCCGACACTGGGTGAGACCACCGGAACCGCTTGCAGCCGCTTCGCCGCGGCTTTTTGGTGCTTCGATGTGGCTCTTCATTGCTCGGAGTTCAGCTTGCCCACTTCCAGAGTGGAGTCTCCCTCTGCTCCAGGTAATGCCCAGCCTGAGGTGCGGCCGAGAAGTTGGAGCATGGGTGCCGAAACCTCACTTGTCAAGTACTATAGGCTTACAAAAGCAAAGCCCGAAGTTTCGCCACAAGAGCCCTGTACCAGCTGCCAAGCGATACTTGGATGATGTTACGGTGCCCTGCAAACTGCAAGCGTTATCAAACGATCTTGGGGGCCCTGGAGGGTGGCCGAAACAGCTGGGAGAGAGCAAAAAAGCAAGTTCTCAGACTCTGAAGGCCGGGCTTGATTTGGGGATCTGCTCTGGAAAGTCTTCAAGCGCCCCACCTTCAAACTAATTAGATGCTCACACCCCTGTCCTGACGATTGTGTCAATCAGAATCTTGAGATTCATCCCCTACCACTAGCACAAAGCCCGGCGCACCCCCAAAGACAGTCGCACACTTCTAAGGTAACCTTTCCTTTTGCACCCAAGTGCAGGAACATGCATGGAAACAGTGCTATTCCTCAACCTTCCTTCAGCCTTTTCCGGCTTCTTGCCTCACTTTTCAGCTTTTCGAGCGGCGCAGCTCTGTGGCCTGGCTTTCAAGCGAGAGCTGAGATTGATGGACATTCTCGGAGATACACTTAGGCCGCAGGATTCCTCTCGAAGTCCTAACCTTTAAGTTTCGAGGGTCAGGATGGTTAAGGGAGCCTGGTCTACAACCGGTGGACGCACACCGGTCACAGCTCCGGATGCCCCACAGGCTAGGGCTGAACATTGTGAAGGGCACAGGTATTGATGCTACAAGTAATGGGGCCTGCCAGTCAAGCTGTGCTGTTCAATGCTTCAAATGCAGGCCTTACCTTATTATGTGGAAAATCGCCAGGGCCTGCGGCTGGCCCCGGTAGTTCGGGTACACGCTGAAGGTCACCAAATCCTTGGTACGTCGAGCGATGCATGCCACTTGCTTGCCCTGCTCTGAGTCAGTTCTTCTTTTTTGGGGGGAGAAGGTCGGGGTGTCAGAAGGTCTTGTATGCGGTTTTATGGTTGACATCCGGTGGTGATGTTGACGGCTAGTGACTCCATGCACTTTGCTTCATGAAAGGATTTGAGCTTGGTCTGGACCTCACAGTCTTGAGCTGCTTGATGAACACAAAGTGCATTCGCAGACGCATGTGGTCATGGGGTGATATGTGGTGGTAATCAGTGGTAATCTATGGTGATAGGTGGCGATCTATGGCTGACATCAGAGGGCGACACTGCCTGCATATACTTGACAATGAAAAACGGCACTGGCTGGACTAAATTGGAAGCTCTCTTCTTAAAGTCAGGCACAAGGGTCTCCTCGCCTGAAGTGGCGCTTCTGGTTCTGGTGCAGGAAGACGTCCAGATCTTTGAACCGTTTCTTCAACTCTTCATTCCTGGGCACATCTGCTGGAGTGAAGGGGCGTTAGGAGGCTCTTCAGGGGAAACAGGATTGGCCTTGTGCCGAAGGCCAGCCCGCGGCACGAATCAGGACACCGGCACATGACCATAATTCGGTCCAAGGCACGAGATGAAGCCATAGCCTTTGTCTTCGAACCTTCTCAATCGGATGCAGCATGTATCTCCAAGGAGATGCAAAAGGGATGGAGGGACGGGCTGGGAGGGCGGGTTTCCGCTAGCTAGGAACTCCTGCCCAGTAGCCACATCTTGATGCGTCCTTCCCATCGACGGTCTGTTACACCTAGCAGGTCACCGCGGCCAAAATATCATTGTGGCAAAGCATGAGGGCAGCAGCACACGGCCACACAGGCAATCTGTTCCTCCAACCTGGTATCGGCTCAGCATCAGGAGGCCGATAGTTTGGATGGTTGATATTGGACGACGGGCCGGGGGGCACCTGGTTGAAACTGAAAGGAAGCACTGCTCAACAGCAACTCAGGCTCTCTCTTGACCTTAGACTCAAACTTGACCTGGTGAAGGAACACACGCAGGACACAGGCCAAGGATCATCGTCATCCTCATTGACCTTGCTGGCTGCGAGGGCAGGATCTGCCACGGTGGAGGGGCTCGTGACAGGAAGAAGCGCCGTCCCATCTGTGGGTGCTGGGCCCATCATTTGTCCCATCATTGGGCCCATCATGGCTCCCATCATCATCATGTGATTGAACATGCCCATCTGCTGCATTTGCTGCATCATGTACTGTTGCTGCTGCTGCTGCATGATTCCCAACATGCTGGGGTTTGTGCTCACGGCACCACAGCTACACCCGTTGCACGGCATGCCCATGCCAATACCCAGGGATGGCACTACACAGCCACCAGGTGCTGTACCTGAAGGGCCACCAGTACCAGCTTCTAAAGTATCCGGAGCTGCAGCGGCGGCTGGTTCTGCCTCGGCCCCAACAGCTTCGGAAGCGGCGCCGAACTGCTCGACCGATTCATCGAGCGCAGGCTCGTCTGCTTGTTCGGTTCTCAATCGCTTGCGTGGCTGCGACACCTCTCGGTCCACCATGGCCTGTCTACGCTGCTCCCCTTTGGCCGGCGTATGTATGTAGCCAAAAAGCGACAGTCACAGCATGAATCCGAGAGGTGCGGTGGGCGGGATGGCATGGTAACACACAGCATGATCAAGGTGCGTAGCTTCCTTTACGAACGGCGGGCCATGTCTGCAAAACATTGCGCAGCTAGTCAGCTAGTATCGTCTTTTTCGATGCAGCTAATCTCTGCCCAGCACGGGGCTCGACAAGGCATCATCAGCCTTCGGTTCACCAACATCTTGGTGATCTGGTAGAGATGTGGGTAGGGGCTCTGCCGGCGTCCAAGAAAACGCGTGATCTGCCAAGCCCAAGACCCAAGTATGTTGCAAAAGGTAGTGCAAGCGGCCATCTTCGGGCATCACACGTAGATGGGGCATCCAACCAGAGCAACCGAAGAGCCTGTCCACAAGCCATGCACAGCTTCATGACGCGGCTCAGTTGCAGTTTCGTGTACAATTTTGACTTGATCTCTTAACCCAGCACACCTCGTGCCCAGCAGTGCAGGAAGACAGAAGACACGGTATGCAACTGACAGGCGCATGACCCCCAAACAGTGAGTCATAACGAGCCTGGTGCGCCCCAGCTGCGTGCAAAAATGGCGGGGTCGTTGAAACGCCGGTTGCGCCTTGTCATTGACTCTCGCGCATGAAGCGATATGAAGGAAGGCGCAGGCACGGCTTGTTGAAACGCAACGTGCTCCTGCGTAATCTCTAGCCTGGACCTGTCAGTGTTATTACCTGCTAAAGCGGCCAAGTTGCTCCAGCCCTTCTATGGCCTGCATCTCCTGAGAGGGCTCTCGAGTTTTTAGTATATATTGGGCACCTAAACCGTCTGGGCCAAACATTCCTCAAAGTCAACTGGGAAGGTCCTTGGAGGAGAGCTCAAAGCCCAAAATATCGAGATTCTCCTTCAATCTTTCGACGCTCCTTGGACACTTCTTGGCTTTTGGGCATGAAATGGGACGTTCCCCCTTATACTATCAGCTCCTTAAGAGGGATTATAGTACACCCTATTCGAATCCCTATTATTAAGGAGCTGTTAGTGTAAGGGGGAACATCCCAAGGCATGACCGTAGCATGTCGAGCCCCAGGGGCTGGCTCTTTGGGATAACGGCGCATCCCCGCTGCACTTGAAAACGCAAGACGACCTGTCCTCAGAGAGCGGAAACTTGAAGAGACATGGTTTAGGGTTTAGGGTTCAGGGTTTAGGACTTAGGGCTCCGGGCTTTTTTTTGGCCACCCGCCTAGGGTTTCGGGTTCAGGGTTGAGGGTTTAGGGGTGCAACCTACTTTTGGCAGGAGCAGCTGCCCATGCTCAGCGTATTCCAGTGGTAGGCACCCGGCCTACAGTCTTGCCATGCGCGTCCGCAATTGTCCTTCGCCGGTTTCTGTCCACTCCCACGAGGTCCAAAACCAAAGGGGAATGTGCTTTTAAAAAGGATAGCAGGCAATTTCTTTGGGAATACAGCGTATAAAAATGTGCAAAATATGAGGCGCTGCATTGCAGCAGAGGGGTCCCTGCAAAGAGTTATCCGGATTGAGAGAGCTGGCCATTGTGGGGAGATGGACTCTACAGTTCAGGTAGCGTGCATGTACCCAACGAGTCCACCTATGTCAGCATTCTGCCGTCTGATAACAGCCATGGGAGCACAACTTCGCCAAAGCGGGCTGGCCCTTCATCTTTCGGGGACATAAACACGGCAGTTACATAGTAAAAGCTAATTTGGGTTTAGGGAGATCCATGGAGATCCTTTCCTCAGAGTTGGCTCCAGAAAGCAATCTTCGTCAGCACTGGCCAGCCCAATGCCCACGTAGGACTTCCTGACGCACGGCTCGTGTTCTTGCCACTTGCTTTATGCAGCCGCTTCAACTTGCCAACGCCCCTTAAATCTTTGGCAACTGCTCGGTCTATCTACGAACAGCACGCCGGCAGACCCGAGACAGCATGGGGGAGTTGACTTGGACCCTCTTTCGCAGTCGAGCTGAGTGGCGCCCCCAGCGGTGAGAATGCCGTCACCCCGATTCCGTGTGCCTGTTGTGACACTGCAGCATTTATGTGAACAGGATCATGGGCTCTTGTTCTGTTAGAAAGCGCCTTGCAGAATCCCACAAGGCTGGGCTGTTGCAGGTAGACGTGGCTCTCAATCTGGTTGACCGCTGGCAGGGCCAGGATCATGGAGAAGCACAACACTTTTTGCGCCCCAATTAGGCTGAGGATTCTGACAGCTTGAGGTGCAGCCTGACATCTTGGATCTGAACTGTGGAACCTAGCCGTGGCACATGTCAGAATTTGCAACCGTTTTTCCATTTCCAAGGCTAGAAGGATCTGTGCATGCATCGACCTCTCGAAACACAGATCTGCCCGCCCCCCTTACATTTGATGAGCCGGCATATTGGAGCTAGCTGATGCCCAGGTCTAGGCTAGAAGTCTTCGGCCTGGTCGAATCTTGCAGTAGGAGAGCACGTCCATGAGCGACTGGACTGTCAAGTTGCTAACTCCAATGTGCCTTGCTTTGCCGCTTTCCTGAGCAGAAACTCTTGGACCAATTCGAGGAACTTACGTAGATGGCCCTATGAGCCCACCATAACCCACCCAAACAGAATCAAACCAAAGCTCCTGCAGGCTCTCCATGGCTTCCCAGGTCTCACCTCGGCTCTCCTCAGCTTCCTTTCAAGGGCATGCCGGTTAGGTGACTTTTCTTGGAGGTCTGGGGGGGTCCGGGTCTGGCGTTCAAGTGCACAGAACAAATATCTTCGCAGCCGGAAGGCGATATGGCACAGGATCAAAGACCATGTGGCCAGTATTTCCTGGTTTGTCTGTCCACTCCGGCGGGTAGCATGTCTCGAACGGCACAAATGCTAGCGAGATGGGGAAGTGGATGAGATAGAGGTCCAAGTAATCCTCACCACGCCCCATGCTTGCGGGTATGCAGGAGGCACTGGTGTCTTCTATAAGGGCTCAGACTGGCGGTTTACACTCAGTAGAGACATCACCATAGCTAAGCCACCAGTCCCAAATCGTCCAGTGTGCGCTGGCAGGCCATCGGCACGTGCCTGGTGCTGGTCGACATGGCGAACATTTCAGAGCAACATATGACACTTTCTGGCAGGGCAAGCATGAGAAGCCACATATCCATGCATATCCCTGCAGTCAAGAAGCTCCTTCCTGTGATAGGTGTTCCACAGCTTGGAGCTAATCCAGAGGTCTCTTCGAGTGCACACGCCTTCCTGGATGGCCCGCCGAATTCCAGCGCCCACCTCCTGCTCATTTCCGTAGTCAGCTGCGCTGTCGATGTGCCGATAACCAACCTTCTCACAAGCGGACTATCTTGCCAACTTATGACAAAGAAACATCATGTGTCATCATCCATCAAGCGAAGTTGCACGTGCACGGCAGCCTTGATGGCATTGTAAACTGCTTCTTCGGTTACGCCCTTGTCAGCTTTCCAGCAGCCCAGGCCCACTATGGGCATCCGAATATCGGTTGTCACCATCTTGCGAAGGGGCTCTTGCAGTACGGCGCGTGCATGCTCCCGCACCCTCCGACCCGCTTGTGCCATTAGAGGGCTGGCTTTGAGCACGTGCCTTCAGCCCAAAGCTCGGATTGCACGTGCAACACATATTTTGAGGCGTTGAGCATGCGCAGCGCTCGAACATGAACTTCAATAAACTATTGGAGTCACGTTTCGAGGCCCCAGAATACTGAGGCGTAGGCCAGGTTCGGAAGTGTTGAGTAGGCCATTCTGCAGCAGCACCTGTGTGCGCCACTCGAATTCGCTCACACTTCCGTGTCACACTCCACCTTTCGCGTCGGCGCTAGTGACCGGTGTGCTAGGTTCCGTGCAGACTCCAAGGGCTCTGAAGAGGCGATGTACGCATCACTATCCATCCACACCACGAACTCGCAGGTCCTGGCAGGATCGAGTTCTAAGCAACTAAGCACCATGGAACAGTTAACCCGAGCTTGTCTCCTGTCTTCGAGCTCTTGCTGTATGATGCGCACGATGGACCACTGTACCCGCCTTCGCTGCTCTGCGCCAGCTCAAATTCGGGAAAGTGACTGTGAAAGTGGCTGTGGCCTAGTGTCAAGCCCCCTGAGATCTAGCTCATGACAGTGAGGGGCCAGTTGCCACGCTACAGGTTGCAGCTGCAGTTGGTTCGGACGACTGGTCATTTGTCTTGAGAAACCGGCCTGGGTGGCTCCAGTCCATCAGACAGCATCTCGAAGAGTGCCTCGTTGCTGATCTCCGGCCTGCTGCATGGCGGCTCTGGTCGAGAGAAAGAAGGAAGAAGTGTGTCTGTGGAATACCTTCGGGCCGGGCAATGCTGGGCAAGGGCATGTATGCGCGTAACTCAGCTACAAACTCCACTTGCAATGTGAAGGGATTTTGGGCCAGCATCCCGGCCTGTGATAGCGGTACCCGTGCAACCTTGAGTAGAGCCTGCGTCGAGATTTCGGGTCTCTTCCTATGGATCGCTTGCCAAGCATGTGTCAGGCGGTAGCTGTAGCTGTTGCCCAAAGCTTCGCTCATCCACCCGTCCGAACGAGTTTTCCATCAATGCGCATGTGCTGAGTGATGCGTTTCAATCTGCAGAACAGCGACCGGTTCAAGTGATAGGTGAGGCTCCAGAAATTGGTCAGATCGCTTGGGTCCTCGCAGCCAAAACAGCAATGTCTATGTTTAAAGCTTGCAAATTGCAAGCCGTGCTTGCGACGTGGCCTGAAACCCGTGCAATTCCCCTTTATGTTGGGATCCTGGGCCCCTGTGTCCTTGGCGACGAGTCTGGACACGTTCTGCTCTAGGGGCCTGTGCAGGCTGGAACGGCATAGCGCTGCCACGTGATAAGCGGACCGCCCTTTGCACTTCGCTTCATGGTCCAAGGAGAACATGGGGACCCCCCCCCCCCTTTTCACATGGGGGAGAGACAAGAATCAGCAATGTATTTGGGGGTTCTGAGATGCTCTTCGTGGGGGTGAGGGACTGGGAACGCAATCACACTGTCTGGCAAAGAACCGACGATCTTCCTGGTGTAGACATATTAAAAAAGTAACTAAACCACTGAACATCTACATGTATACACAGTAACAACAGCAACAACAGTAACAACCACAACCACACAAACAACAACCAACAACCAACGACGACGAACAAACAAAAACAAACAACCACCTCCAACAACAGCAGCCACCAGAACAACAAGCAAAATAAGAGCCAGCAGCAGCAGCAGCAACAACAACAAACGACAATGCCAACAACAATTGGTTGGTCTTTTGTGACATGCGGTGGCTAATAGAGGCATTTATTTTGGTATACTTTAGCCCAATGTGCAGCCCATGAAGACTTTTCGCTGCCATGCTCGGCGAAGGTATGTGTCCGGGCACGAGTCTTTGCGAATGCAGTGCAGTGATTTTTAAATCGTGCTAGAATTTGGTTCTGGTGTCCAACTCTCCTGACCATTGATGACCCTAAACCCACTTATTTTTGAACCCTAAACCCTCTCCCTAAACCCATTTCATTTTAAACCCAGGTACAGCATGACTTTAAAACAATTCCAGCACAGCGCGCACTTCCACATCGATAGCCGCCTGACTCACGAGCTTCCAGCCTGATCTCTCACTGGATCAAGCCTAGCCATTCCCCTCCTTTTCGTCTGTCAATTTGTTTTTTGAGGGTTTAGGGTTTAGGGGATGTATTTTCAGATCGGTGACTCGGAACTTGGCTTAGAAGGTGATGGCAAAGAAGCAGCTAGCAGGAGCGATCAGCCAGAGTGGATCGGCATCGGAACAGTTTCCAAATTCAGTCATTCATGGATCTACAGTACAGTAATGTCACTGACTAGCGCGTTGGGCAAGGTGCCACAGCTTCATGCCAATACCTACAGACCGCAGATGTGGCGCTACTTTCAATGGAAGATCCTCGACCAAAAGCTTCCCGAGCTTAGTCCATTGCACGTCGGCTTGCATTGCTGCGGCAGAGCGTATTTGCAAGATTCAGGGAGCTATGCTGCCGATGAAACCAAGAATTCAAACTGCATTGGCAGTTTGCATCGTTCGTGCCGATCCGATCTCTGGATCATTGGGCGTCGCGCGGCAGTTGCCATAGAACAAACAATTGGGCTGGCCAGGCAGCTCGGGAAGGAGACGTGCTCCAGCTTGCCTGCATTGACATGAGCTGTGTTCCCATGATTTCCCGTGCTGCCTGAGCGGGGCAGCCATGGACCGTGGCTATCCTGACTTACGCAGATTTTCAGTCGTACGCAGCTTCAAGATACCAGGAATCCTTGGTCTGTGCGGATTTGCGCGGGACTGGCAGATGGCACCAAGTGCTCATCCTCCAGCACCAGGCTTGCTTAAACGGGCAGCACTGATCACTCCGAAGCAGATGTAGCTTATCAGGGCTTGCAAGGCTTGCCTCTAGTGACTCTAGTGCCTGTCTCTTGCCTTTCTGAGATAGGCTTTACCCATCTAAGCACTGTACGGTGCCGCGCAAAAATGTGCGGAGCCTCCTGGTGCGATCGCCACCGCACGGGCGTGATGCCGCAATGGCGAGGGATTCTCATCATCGTGTGTACGAATTATATGGACGTACAAGTAAAACAGGGGTACCTCAGTATCTATTCCAAAACCACTGTAGTACTCAGTACAGGAACTTCCAATGGAAACCCCCGTATAGGACGTTTCAACCATGAGCAGCATGTAATATAGAGGCCTCAATAAGTAGAATCGGGTGTTGGGGGGTTCTTCTAGTATACTGATAAAAGGGATCAGAAGTGAACAATATTAGTAGGTACTCCGACCCCCTATAGTTAGAGTACTTTGGTGACCTGGACGCTGCCAGAAGGCCTTTTCCGAAAACGAGTGGCGCGGAAAAACATTTGGGAACGATAGTCTCGTGAACCAGAGGGATCCCACGAAGCTCCCGCGCGAAGAAGCGCCTCTCAGACTGAACCTTCTTCGTCTCTTCTGCTGCTAAGGCTTTCGTTCTACAATTCGCTGATCCTCTCCCCGGAAAAGGGAGCTGAGGCTAGCTGTGCAGGCCAAAGAGGGGGAGACTCTCTCGCTCTTTGGCATTCTCTCGTCTTTATCTTCCTATTCTCTGCGGCAGTCATCAGTACTGGCATCTTCGGGCCCTCTAGGGGCTTGGGATCTCTACCATCTAGGGCCCAAGAGTAGGGGCCAAGGGTTGGTGCCTAGAGCTTGAGTTCTGGGGAAGCCCCGTTCCTAGAAGCCCAGACAACGTCTCCAAATGCAGGAACCACTCTTTAAGCTTCGCCCGACAAACTGTTACTGAATTCTGACCTGTACAGTAGAGGTGCTGTCATACTTAAAAGGGGGGACCCTTCAGCTATTTCTTGGGGGCATTGGGACACTGTCTTTCCTCAAACAAGATACTGAACGGCGCCACTGGAAACAGATAGAAGTTATTAGGCCTCCTAACAGTACCGCTCGCGTCGAGGATGCCTGTGAGTAATGCGTGTTCGGCGCCCGCCGAGGGTTGCACTGCAAGAAGCTGTTGAATGCGAGGTGTCGCAGGACCCCAAGGTTGAACGGTGCAGTCATGTCTCCTTTTGCTAGCGTGTGCCCCTTTCCTGGCACTGGGCTCTGCTGTATGATGCATGCAGTCTACGCGCATGCGCGCCGAACCTGCATGGCCACGGACTGCTCGTGAAAGTGTTGTTGAATGATGTTCAAGGCACTGAATGGCGATTGGTGATGGAGCTGTTGTGCCGACTGCTTGGGGTCCTCTCCCTCGCCCTCCTGACTTGTCCAAGGCAACACAACGACATTCTGTTAGACTACAAAGCCCTCAAACTTAGTGGTTCTTTGAAATCCCTGCCACGTTTCAACAACGGTGTTTTCGAGGACAATTCCAGTTCCTGCCTGTATGTCTTTGTTGCTGCTAGAACAGCTGTCTCCCTAAACCCTAAACCCTGAACCTTAAAACTCTTGGCAACGGCAGTCCGTTTGTGCAACGATTTTTGAAGCACATGTGTACCGGCCATGCAACGGCGCTGGCATGACGCCTGCCAAGCAGGGCTCGTGGGAGCTGTGGCAGCCCAGGGGCCACATGATTATAGCTATTATTATTATTATGATTATTATTATGATTATGACTGTTTTTCTTATTCTTATTGCTACTTATTATTCTATGACTTCTCGTGCTTCAGAAACATTCAACAGTCTTGATAATGTTTGTACTCGTATACTCTTACTTGAATTGAATATTTCAAATATTTTTGGTACCGTAACGAGTCAAATCCTGCTCTGACCTGAAGTGCTGCTGTGAATGCACCGTATCCTACGAAGTTGGCCGAAGAGCTTGCTACAGCCCACTTGATGAGTTCTCTCCTGCTTGACAGGCGAAGCGAAAAATGCCACCTCAGCAGCCCGCCTGCAAACTGCCTGTTTTTTGCTGCCACCTGCCTAGCAGACTAGCCATACCCAACAACACTGCGTGGCAACAAGTCGGGGACCGCGTTGTGCACAAAAGCAAGATGGACCCAAGCCACCAGCAAGCAAGTAACCTAACCACAACACGCTTCCTCAACTGCCAGACTCAACCCCAGCACCTTCATTTTAGGTGAACTGCTGAACGTCGTGCCGCGTCGACTGAACAAGGTTCTGTTTATTCCTGGTCACGCAACATCCTTGACCCTGTCCGCTTCAGCTACTGGCGGTTGCTGGGGCAGCATGTCTAGCATCTGCACTGCCCTGGGCTCACAATCCTGCCGCAACAGCCACTCGGTTGCAACGGAGGATGTCGGTTGCAGTAACAAGTGCAACATGAGACACACCGTAGCTGTAACTACCGTGTGCTTACGATGGAAACTATAAGCGTATCCAGCCACTCACGGCCAGCAGGAATTGCCAGGACGTCTGGGTCATGGACAAGGGCAAAAAGCCCAAAGGAAGAAAGTCACATGACTGCAGAGCTGCAGTGGTTTTGACAAATTCGGTGAAGATCTTCTGCACTGATTGGTTTGTACGCTGTCCGCATCACCCCTCCTTGCCCTCCTCGCCCTCCAAGCGAAACTTCAGCAGGAGCCAGATGGTGTGGGAGGGTGTGGGTAGCATGCCTTTGGCCAAGGGAGGGCAAGCCCCAATAGTTCTGCTACTGCAATGACGCGGGATGTTTCTTGCAATGGATCTTACCATTTGCGCTCCACATACACCCCAAAACACAATAATCAAAGCGCGGCTTATGGCATTGCCCCAGCCATGCATAAGCCACTCTTGCTACAAAAACACCTGCTTCAACCGATCTATGCCCAAGTCAAATGGGGGCATGGGCAAGGAGGGCTAGCTCGGCTGTCCCGTCTGCCACGTTGACCTTCCAACGTCTCGCAGAAACTCGCGTGGTTGCCTACAGAGGCGAGAATATCATCCCAGCAAGGCTCCCGGCGGTCTCCTACGCATTTCTACTCAACAAAGAACGGTCTTGATGGCTTTCCATAACTGGTGCAGACCGCATGCGAACTCCATGATTCTACACTCCATGTTCACCGGAAGGAGACCCGCGACTTTTGGCTTCGGAAACCGGTGAAAAGCATTCGATCGTCATCTCTGAGTACCTTGTCGTGACCCTGGAATGGGGTCAGCGCGAGTGCGCTGAACCAGAACCATGTCCAACCCCCCCAAGCTTAAATTCGCAGACCGTGTCGACTCTAGACCTTCTCCCTTCTTCATGTCATTTTGGCTAAAACCACACAAACAGGAGTGAACGTGTAAGCTCAAGCACCTCAACTTACTTTCTGAAAAAGGACTCAGGTCCTCAGGGCTTCGGAAGCTGGAAGATGAGGCACCTGCGTACAAGAGCTCTACCACACCCCTCGTCACAGCACCCTCTGCGTGTACCAGTTGGGATGTTCGCCCTTCTACTGACAGCTTAGCAGGGATTAGAGCACCCCCTACTATAATCAAGGACTGTTAGTATAAGGGGGAACCTCCAGATGTACCAGCTTCAATCGCCCGATTTCTAGCCATTTCTCTGGTAGCCCGTCCCGTCGGTCCCTAGCTCAGCGATCTCTGGGTCGCAGCTCAGTTGAAGCGGGGCTTTATCGGGTTGGGGGGTTGCTCTTGCCTCTCCCCGCCTCCCCCACCCCTCGCGCAACCGCACCCGAAACCGAAACCCTAAATCATGAACCAAAAGGATTCGAGAGGGGAGCGCCTTCTTCCCACGAGACTCAGGACCAAAGTCCCTCAAACGCGTGCACAACTGTAGGCGCTGTCCCCATATATAAGGTGCTCCGCCCCACCTGGGCGTGTCCCGAATGCTGAAGCACCTAAGGGTTAACGGTTACCTTAAACCATCCTACCAAGGAGGACTTGTGCTTTGGTAGGCGCTTCTGCTGCTCTTCTGTGGAGCACGAGGAGCCCATGCCCCCCCCCCCCCCCCCCACATGCAGTGCGCGCCCGGCTCTTTTTTTCTCTTCCTTCCTTCCTTCCTTCCTTCCTTCCTTCCTTCCTTCCTTCACGCATAATCTGCGGAGGGTGTCCGCACAGTACGTGTCTGGTGAGATGCGCGCCGCTCACCCTGAAAGCACTGTACCAAAAAGGGATCGACCGCATCACGTAAGATTTGCTTGGCAAAGCGGTTTCACCATCGAGGACTTGCACAATAGGATTGTTTGGTGTTCAGGGCTCATTGTCTCGTTGGCTACTGGAGGCTTGGGAGGCTCACTACATGTCAGTGCAGGAGTGCAGTACAACACGGGGGAATGGTTAAATGAGGAATGAAGTCACCTGAAACAGCACCGGGGTGCTAAGCAACCCTAAACCCTAAACCCTAAACGAACTTGTTTAAGCCCATGGATGCCGGTGCCTCTCTCCGTTCCCGGCGTTCGTCGAGGCAGTCTCGCAGCAGGTGACAAGTGCTCGCTTCTTTCATCCCAAAGCATGGAACAGAAAGCCTCCGAGCACACTACCCTAAACCCTAAACCCTAAACCCTAAACCCTCTACCCTAAAACTCCTAAACTCCAAACCCTAAACCCCTACTTGAAAGCCCTTCGCCTGGCCAGGTGCCAGCTTCGCGGCACCAAGGGTGGTGGCCATACCGGAGGTCGGAACCTACTCGAGGCCAGGCACCAAGAAAACTCATCTTTAGCGCTCTCTCTCTCTCTCTCCCACACGCATAACCCCCCCGAAGGGAGGCTGCCCCCTCTCTCTCTCTCTCTCTCTCTCTCTCTCTCTCTCTCTTAGGGTTTAGGGTTTAGGGTTTAGGGTTTAGGGTTTAGGGTTTAGGGTTTAGGGTTTAGGGTTTAGGGTTTAGGGTTTAGGGTTTAGGGTTTAGGGTTTAGGGTTTCGGCTTTAGGGTTTCTTCTGCTTGTTCTGCATGCGGAAGGGCCCCCGAGGGGCCCGGCCACGATGGCCGAGCGGTTATCAGCCTGCGTCTGTAGGCTCTCGGTTTTCAGGTTCCAGGTGAGAGTTTGCTGGAGGTGAGTACTGCTCGGACTCCTCTCTCTCTCTCTCTCTGCCGGACTCCTGGCTGGCCAATATTTCGCCCGTCACTGACCTGGGTTTCAGGCTTTGGGGCCTAGAGTTCCACCCATATCTAAGCTCCAGAACTGCCCGAAACCCCTAGATTCCGCAAATCCTCATACCCCAACAGGAACCGCAGTGTCTGAGCTACTGTGAAGGAAGCCTCCAGTAACTAAACGCGGGCTTTTTCATGTCGGGGGAGGGGAGGGGGGGGCATGTGTTCGCATGCATGCGCAAACACCATTCTCTATGTGCAAGTAACCCCGTTTGCATGTGTATGTTGCTGCTTGTGGTCTTCTTGCATGGCAAACCCAACAAACCTTCCAATGCAACCGAAGACCCTTGTACATCGGTGCTTATCTTCACCCTAAACCCTAAACCCTAAACCCTAAACCCTGAACGACATTTGAATCCTAGGCAGGAATGCGCCTGGTGTTGGTAGCCTCCCATCTTCCTTGGCTGGCTTGCAAGGAGAGAGCCGCCATGCTCTGCACGAACTAACATCCCCTCCTCACGCGCTTTGAAGAGTCACAAGTGGAACGAGCTCCGGGTCGGTAAAGTCTATAAGTACTGTGTATTCGTACAGAGCACTTCAGGTATACGAGGAGCTCCCTGCTCTCGCCAAAAATTTAAGAATACAATAAAACAATACTATATTAATGCAAAATGTAACATAGAAGCATAACCATATGACTTTCGAGCCCCTAGCAGAAGTCGGCGCTCAGTACAACTTCCAGACCACGGGACGCACGCCATGTTGGATGGACTCAGGACTGCACTGTTGCACTGTGGTCGGAATAGTTACTAATAGTTATGGTCCCTTTGTAACTGTACCATAAGAACTCCCCAAAACCCTATTCTGATAATCATTTAGGCGTCTATAGTAGTTCCTTCTCCGGGTCGACCACCTCAATAGCGATCCAACCTTGAACTGAAACGCGCCTTTTGCTCAACACTCCGACCAAGTCTCCCCCAATTTTCGTCGACGTCCATCTCGGTGGCTGGAGGCGGGAGCAAGAAGTCATCTGGCAGACCTGTGGACAAGTCGTTCAGGGATGCAGTTGCTGTTGCCAGCACAGCTCTTTACTGCGCTTTCATGAGGTCATTCCAAACTGTCGCAGGTCTCATTAACGACATCTTCTTTTCAGGGAAACTCCATCTTTCCCTCTTTCTGTCTCAAAAGATAAAGTTTACACATCTTTGCGTTCCCTAATGTGTGTAAACTCATGTCTTGACTCTACTGAACTGAAAGACTACGTAATGTGAAAGGGGCTCTGTCTGTCGAATGCGCACGTATGAAGTTTTGTTGCAGGCGTTGAGTTGTTGCTCGCTGCAGCCTGCGCTTCAGACTCTTAGAATCACTCGGTTGCAGCGCGTTGTCTACAGTCAGCTACTGTTGAGCTTCACCGACCACCCGTGAAGACCATGATGATCCTTGTGGCCTTTTGGGTGGGTGGAGTGGGGCTGTCCCTGAGTGCCTGCCCACGTGACAAACTGACACGTCATGGGGTTAAGTAGGATCGACTCGGTGAAGTTGCAGTCGGGTGAGGGCATCGTGCTTGGCTTTCTGGCAAAAGCTCTCTTCATGAGATGAAAATGAGGGCGAGACCAAATTGCAGAAGCTCCGCTGAGTCGCCTCAGCAGGGAAATGCACTCTGCATTTTATTATCTATATAAATGGAGTTAATATATATATATATATACATATTCTCTACCGGCTCGGGGATTTCAGCGGGTCTAACTGACAATGAAAACAAGCCAGCAGTCACTTGCAGTCACCATCTTGTCTCTACATTTGTCTCTCCGCCCCTTGCGCACTACATACCCTGTACATACCCAACAAGCATCTGTCGCTGCAACCTGTGACCGTTCCTTGCGACCCAGCAATGTGTGTTATAAGCCCGTGACAACGCGGTTTGATCACCGGCGTGGCGGGAACTTGCCTCAGATTTGCCACACTCGAGCCCTGGAGATATCTCAGAAAACCTTGAGATGGGGCCACGAAAGCTAAACAACTAAACAATGCTTTTTCGTCGTGCACAAGGGCAAAGCCCGCAGTCCCAATCCCATATGCACAGAAGTCATGCCGGGGCCATATTGGTGGGGGCTGTTACTTTGTGAAGTCGCAGGGACTACTCGCCGGATATTGATATTGGTTTCGCGTGATGGGTCGAGTGCTTGCACTGTTGCGGGCATTTGCTCCGGACTAGAAGACAGAGCCTAAGGATGCCAAGCAGCAATGCCATGGTCTTCGGTGCCTCCATGGCAAACAGCGAGACGACAGTTCGAAAAGGGTTGCTGTGACTGACCGAACGTGCCATTCCAGAAGCTGAGTTGGCGGCGTCTGGGTCTTGGCCGATTGAGCGGTTCGGACGACGCGGCACCAGTGGACTTCCCAGAGACTCGAGCCACGCGGCAAAGGGCAGCGAATGAATCCTGGATGCGGGTTCGCATTCGTTCCTTGTCACGAGAGAGCAGTGTCGCGCAGTGTTCTTTACAAAGTTCAGACATTGTCCAATTCTCGAGCTACACATCTTTTCTCTAAGCCACGTACGGTCAATCTCAAATGCATCACAAAGCTGTTGTGTTAAAGCGTCAGAGCATAAATTCATCCGCGTCTATGGACAAATGCCATAGGCCGGCAAAGCCAACGGGGCCACAGCAAAGGCAGTAAAGAACACATGCTTGAGCCGCTATCAATCTGTCCCAACATCAGGTACATTCAAGGTCAAAAGGCTCTCATACCCCGAGAACCCCAAAATAAAACCTGGCCTGTCATCTCCAGGGTCGGTAGAGACGATGCAGATGCGGTGTGACCTTGAAGACCCAGAAGCTGACACTACTCAAGACTGCGGTGGCCAAGACACCCCCCTATAGTATCATGTTCACTGTTCACCACATAGTTACTTCATGGCTGCCAAAACATGGCTTGGTCCTTTCCTATCCAACACGAGCTGAGGGACCCCTTAGAACCTTAATAAAAATAGTAATTTTAATATCCTCTTGGGTTATATGAACAACAATACAAAAATAATTCCCAAGGGGGATATAGTCTGCGGGGCCCCTTAGAAGCCCAACTGCTGGGGCTGCGACAGGCGTGGCACAGCCGCAGGCCCAAGTTGCTCGCACTGACAACTCTCGTGGCTTGGGCCTGACTTGCTTGTTGCTGGCTTATAAACAACATACATATATATATATATATGTAAATATACATATATAAAATCAATATATTTATCTACGTATACGCATATTTGTGTTTGCGTGTAGAGGAAAATGTTTCATATACTTGTAAGTACTTTGCTTTTGGGGAGTAGCGCCTCATGAGCCATGTCTCATGCCACACAGCGAGGTAGCCGTTCAAGCCGAACCCATTTCACTGACAAGATCGTTCAAGCAAGTGCGCTCTGCTTGGGGAAACAGGCAGGGCAACAGGCGCAGAAGTAGCGCCTTCATGAGGCTGAGACCCATACATAGCGCAAGGAGTCGTCACATCAGCAGCTTAAGTTGCAATTCAGGTGCAGAACTTACGACAATTCATCGGCTACAATGGCCCAATCGTGGTTTTGCTTCGATTGGTATGCAAATGTCGATTACCTTTTGAGCGCACCTGGAAGCTTGGTACTTACAAAGTTCTACTTTCGCGGAATTTGCCTAGAGATGGCTATCTGTAATATAGGTACTGTATGTACTATATAATATATATAGTATACATATATATATATATGATATACATATATATATATATATGTATACATACACATGATATAATATAATACAATGTAAAAAGATCTAATACAATATGTAATATATGCTACTTTTACGTAATATGCCCAATATGTAAAATTTGAGTAATATGGGAAATTATTCATACGCAATACGTGTAACTGTGTAATTTGCGTAGTATACACAAGATATGTATAATGGTCTATATACGTAATGCATGAAGTGCGTGTAATATCCGATGCGCTGGGGGGCTACGTAGGACACCCATTGCGTAGGCTGCAACGTATTTGTTCCTGGGACGGACAAGCTCAGCCGCATAACACCTGTTTCAAGTCATCTCTTGATGCTGCGTGTTCCTTTGAAGCTGTTGACTGAGCAGCCGGCTTCCACCGTTAGGACAGAACCTCAGGCATAAGCATACATCTCCATGCTTTGCAGCGGGCGTCGCAATGAAAAGGTGGTCTACAGTCATGGCACACGAGCTAGAGGTATCTAGAGGTTGCTGGCCTCACTGGAAGGTGCATACATGGGGATTGTAAGGGTTTTGGTGATTTTGGTCCTTGCTCACAGCTACCCAAGGAGAACTCTCGAATGGCTTTCAAGCCCCTCTCGCAGAGAATCGCTGGTTTTTCTGCGTAGCCTAGCTCATTGCTCCTTCTGAAGCAAGACCATGTGTACCTGGTTTTGTTCAATGTCCCTAACACGCGCTCCCTACCTGCATGAACGGAATGACACAGCTGGCTTCCGTATGCTTTTGCCGTTGTCGCGAGGCTGAGTACAAGGACACGCTTGACAGTCTTGCCCATCGCAATCAAGTTCGCCAGAATGGAAGAAAGGCCCCTTTAATTCCCCGATTAATATAATAAACGGCCCACTTTAGAAAGAAGTAAGAATAAGGGCATTATTCATAATTAGTTAATAATTAACTAAGAATTAATCAATAATTAATTAGTATTCTTAATGGAGCTTGTTCGCAGCCGTGTCACGAAAGGCTGCAGGGCCGCCCGTGGCCAACTGGGGATGCTGCCTGCCAAAAACCCTTGAGGCTGTTATGTATTATACTACATTTTAACTATATTATACGATATATTATATTAGAGTATATTATAGTTTATATATGTATTTCATACATTACAAACAGTACGCTCTTGTTAGGCTCGGCAACCGTTCTCTACGCGACCTGTGGATTCTGAAGCCGTGGGCCTGGATCTCATCTTCTACATAGCCCAGGATTTCCCAAAGCTGCGGGGTCTGTACCAGCGTGCTATGCGCCTCGGCAAGCAAGCTGCAACTTTAGAGGCAAGCCCGTGCCAGAGTGGTGGATTGTGGAACAACTCACGCACTTACTGTATGCCAGTCCGCTCGCGAATGCAGCCTTCGAGCAATTTCAAGCCTGCTGATTTCTCGGTGCGCACTGATTCAAACTTGGCATCGAACACACGCCACCCGAGACATCAGGTCCGCCACGTGGACCCTGGGCGAGGAAACTGGACATAATCAGATTATGTTGCCCTGTGCCTGTCCTGTGAATGCGAGGCAGGCTGATGACTGTGTCGTGTGGGAATGAGAGAACATCCTTCATTCGGCAACCTTCAGTGTGTGTCCACCACCGAATAACATCTCGGGCCTGCAAACTCTAGAATCCAAAATGAAGTGGTACAGCGATGCACAGCGTGATCTTCTGAATCAAAAGGAAATGGCACGGCGTGATGTGGGGGACAAGGCCCAAGCTCAGTCATTGTGAGATACAGGTAGGCCTCATGTAGCCTCGGTAAACAGCAGAGGGCCATGTCTGGATTCGCTCACGGCCTCGCCTCTTGGTGCTGGTGAGTCTTTAAGCCGGCGCAAGTAATCGGTGCTTACGGCGACATACCGAGACATGATCGTTTGGCAGCGCAAGAGACTTTCTTCTAAACTCCATGAGTTCATAGATGCAGAGCATTAGATGTTCAGTCTTAGAAGGGGATTTTGCCAGCAGGTTAGAATCTGCTGCCACACCGTTTGCAAGCGACCAGATACACAGGCAGTCCACCAATTCCAGCAAGATATCGGGGGTTGGAGAATACCTCACAAAGAGCGTCAAAGAGCTACATCAGCTCCTAAGCCCTAGACCCTACACTGTCAATGCCCTCAGAACGCCTCGGGGGGGGGGGGATCTTCGAAGAAATGGCAGCCATAACTGCCATAACATATACAGACACCACCGGTTAGCCATCTAAAAGTCAGGGTCTTGATGATGCAGCCAACCTTCTTAAACAGTGTCTCTGCGAATGCTGCCTCGAATAAGTGGGTTGGGGCATCCTCCCGATTCAGCCCAGAAGCTGCCCCGTTCTGGCCATGGCCACAGCCTGGGATCACTACAGCCGCTGGGCCCTGGTGGGGGTTCCCCAACTCCAGACTTTTATTTTTAGGTTTTTGCTTGGCTCGGGCCCTGCCAAGAAAAGGATGAGAAACAACAAGCTTATTGAGGATTCAGGGTGCCCCCAGCGTGTGGGGTTAGATTTCTGAAAAGGCACCTGGCCTGGAATTATCGCTTTCTTATCCAGCGCTGTCACTGCAGATGACGACGACTACTACTATAACGACTACCGCCTGCAGCTACCACCACCGCGACGGCAAGACCTTGTGTTCGGGGTGGCCTGGTGCTGAAGGGAGTGCAGCACATGTTCCATGCAAATCTGGAACATTATGGGTACATTCACAGAAAAGCCGTTAAGAATCGTAGGGAGAACTGACCAGCAACAACAACAACAACAATCCACAAACACAAGGTCACAAGGCAAGAGACCATGCAGCAGAAGCCCCTTCTCTCCATGACCTTCTCTATATTCCCCTTAGAACCTTAATGCTGTAAAAATGATATGTTTGATATCCTCTTGGGTTTATATAAGCACAAACTAATTCCAAGGGGGAATATAGTTCTGTTCCCGAGCGGCGCAGGAGGCCGCGCCCAACGCCACGGCACCAGTTCCGCAGCGCCGCCGTGCCAGTTGGGCGGCCCCGGGGGCAGACCAAAGCCTCGGTGAGCACTGCGATCTTCATGGGTTTAGGGTTTAGGGTTTAGGGTTTAGGGTTTAGGGTTTAGTCATCTTGTAGGGGAGCCTACGATCCTCTGCAATAGATTCTAGGTGTAGGTGGCTCGGGGAAAGAGGATGGAAGACGGGGAGAATCGAGGCGAAGTGTGTGTGTGTGTGTGTATCTATTTCGAAGTTTACCTGTAGAAAAGCTGCGATCTGCAAGTTGGATGGCCGGCATGCCGAGTCAACAGGAAAGAGTAAAGAGGTCGGCTCAGATCACGTTTACGGATGAGGGTCGTAGCCTCTTTTTTTAACATATGGCCTCGCTGGGCTTGGAGAGCATGCTCCGTCCATGTACCGTTCCCTTTCACTTGCTGTTGGTTAGTAGGGAATGGGGAATAAGGCACCCTATATACCCTTTCAGGGTATATATATATATGTATATGTGGTACCCTATTCCCCCATTTCCCTACTAACAGTACTAACCAACAGTAAGTTCCAAGGCAAACTGGCCTGGTCTCCATCCTTTGCAAGTGCGACTAGGAATGCGAGAGGCATGAGTAGACACAGCCCTTCAACCTCTTCAAGCATTCCACGTCAACGTCCCTGCCAAGCTTGAGGAATGCGAATTAATTCGCATCAAATATAGTGCGTGTATATGTATATCATATCATATACAGAAGCAAGAAAACACAACGCATAACCCACAAAAGGTCAGGGACACAAAACGCGAAGGTGCTCGAAACGAGAGGACAAGCAGATCTTGGGTCTCGGCTTCATAGCCAAAGCTCGCAAATGTTCAGAGCCTTGCAGACTGCACTTTTGAGTGCTAGGTCCTCTAGGCAGGGCAAATGCAAGGCTGTGATGGCCGCAGCTGGGGGGGATGATGTTGCTTCATGCTTTTTTCACGCTTTGGAATGAGGGTGCCGTGCAACTTGTTGTCACCATGCTGGGCTATGCCGGCCATGCTTTCAGTGGTCTTCGTCCACCACCATGTCGTCCTGGGCATGATCCTCGCTGTGATCGGCAATCTCTTCATCCATTGGGGCGTCGGCGGCGTCGGCATCCTCCTGGGCTTCGATGTGATCCTCGGCGCCCTCCTCCGCATGTTCTGCCAGAAGGCTTTGGTGTTCCTCCGCATGCTCGGCAATCTCGGCAGGGTTTTGGGCAGCAGCGTCCTCCTCCGTGTCGTCGTGCTCGGCCTGGTCCTCGGCGCGGTCCTCGGCATCCTCCTCTTGGTCCTCCTCCGCATCTGCAGCGTCTTCGTCCTTCTGGGCCTCATCCTCCATGTGGGCCTTGCCGTGATCCTCGGCGGCCTCCTTCTGTTCCGCCGCCAAGCTGTGCGCCTCAGTGATGTCGTCTGCGCTGGGGCCGGGGATTCCTGGCCTCAGGTTTTCGGGGTTCACAAAGCTGATGGCAAACTGATTCACAGGAACGCCCCCGGTCGTGTGCACCAAGGGCTCTTCACACTGCTGCTTGGGGCAGCTTTGGGATGGCTGCCAGCCATCCGCATTGGTCTCAATGTTCGTTCCTGTCACAGCAAAGCGGGATGCCAGCTGCTCAAAGATTCCCACTTCTCGCCTCAGCTGGTCCTGCTTGCTTCCCTTGTTATGGGCAGCTTCAGATGCTGCTCCAAAGCCGAAGTGGACCTCCATGTCAAGGGTCCGGATCTTCTTCATGTCCTCTTCGTTCTTAAGGAGATCCTCCAGGACGGACCACTCAGACCCCTCCACATCGATCTTCAAGTGTGTCGACATCTCACCGCGACCGGTAAGCAGCTCGGACAGCGACGTGTATTCCCGTTGGTTTACGGTCTCGTGCTTGGGGCCCAGGCAGACCCGGAAGGCATCGTAGTGGGTCTCGTAGCAATGGTGGGGGTTCCCGGCACAGGAGCCGCGTGCATTGGGTGCAATCATTGCCAACGCCGGAGACGACTTGGGATCCTGAAAGCAGTCATACAGTTTCGTCGGCATGTGGAAATCGTTGCTCATGGTCTCGCTCCAGAGGTCCCGCTGCTCAATACCGAAGGAAAGCCCGAGCTTGCCGTACTCGCCCTTGAAAGCAGCCAGGCACCAAGCAGAGTCGCCAAACAGCTTGAAACCGCCGCATGCCCTTTCAGTGGCCTCTTTGTTTGGGTGGGCTGCCATCAAGATTCTCTCTCCCAGCTCCACACGCCAGGACTCGTTGCTCTTGTATGGCCACACATCAGCCACCGGCATGCAAGGCACGCCGGTTCGGGAAGATGCTGGGCAGTTGGGAAGGCATGCTGGCTTGCATGTCGGCCGATGCGCTCCGAACTTGTGCTGAGCTTCAGGCTCTTGCATCTGGATGGCCAGGGCCTGTTGCAACAGCAGCGCGCTCGTCAGCGCGAGCACCGCCATGGCCGGATTGCTGCGGCGCAAAACTACGTTGGGGCGACTACGTTATGTGCTGTTAGGCTGCGCAAATGGCGTAGAGTCAGCTGGGCACAGCGCCAGCAGCAAGCAGCGTGTGACGAAACACACGTGATGGTGGGTTTGGCAAGCAGATAACCCTGAATGCTTGGCTGGCTACTGTCGCATGGACCGCTTCTAATGTCGAACGCTCTGAGGCTGCAGTTCTTCAGCGGCCATTATCAATCGCAGCTAAGCCTAAGCTTTCAGTCTTCCTCTTCGTCCTCGGCGTCCTCCTCCATGGCGTCCTCGGCGTCCTCCTCCGTGTCGTCGTCCTCGGCGCGGTCCTCGGCATCCTCCTCTTGGTCCTCCTCCGCATCTGCAGCGTCTTCGTCCTTCTGGGCCTCATCCTCCATGTGGGCCTTGCCGTGATCCTCGGCGGCCTCCTTCTGTTCCGCCGCCAAGCTGTGCGCCTCAGTGATGTCGTCTGCGCTGGGGCCGGGGATTCCTGGCCTCAGGTTTTCGGGGTTCACAAAGCTGATGGCAAACTGATTCACAGGAACGCCCCCGGTCGTGTGCACCAAGGGCTCTTCACACTGCTGCTTGGGGCAGCTTTGGGATGGCTGCCAGCCATCCGCATTGGTCTCAATGTTCGTTCCTGTCACAGCGAAGCGGGATGCCAGCTGCTCAAAGATTCCCACTTCTCGCCTCAGCTGGTCCTGCTTGCTTCCCTTGTTATGGGCAGCTTCAGATGCTGCTCCAAAGCCGAAGTGGACCTCCATGTCAAGGGTCCGGATCTTCTTCATGTCCTCTTCGTTCTTAAGGAGATCCTCCAGGACGGACCACTCAGACCCCTCCACATCGATCTTCAAGTGTGTCGACATCTCACCGCGACCGGTAAGCAGCTCGGACAGCGACGTGTATTCCCGTTGGTTTACGGTCTCGTGCTTGGGGCCCAGGCAGACCCGGAAGGCATCGTAGTGGGTCTCGTAGCAATGGTGGGGGTTCCCGGCACAGGAGCCGCGTGCATTGGGTGCAATCATTGCCAACGCCGGAGACGACTTGGGATCCTGAAAGCAGTCATACAGTTTCGTCGGCATGTGGAAATCGTTGCTCATGGTCTCGCTCCAGAGGTCCCGCTGCTCAATACCGAAGGAAAGCCCGAGCTTGCCGTACTCGCCCTTGAAAGCAGCCAGGCACCAAGCAGAGTCGCCAAACAGCTTGAAACCGCCGCATGCCCTTTCAGTGGCCTCTTTGTTTGGGTGGGCTGCCATCAAGATTCTCTCTCCCAGCTCCACACGCCAGGACTCGTTGCTCTTGTATGGCCACACATCAGCCACCGGCATGCAAGGCACGCCGGTTCGGGAAGATGCTGGGCAGTTGGGAAGGCATGCTGGCTTGCATGTCGGCCGATGCGCTCCGAACTTGTGCTGAGCTTCAGGCTCTTGCATCTGGATGGCCAGGGCCTGTTGCAACAGCAGCGCGCTCGTCAGCGCGAGCACCGCCATGGCCGGATTGCTGCGGCGCAACACTACGTTGGGGCGACTCACAGTAGATTGTGTGCCGTAAATGGCTGTTGCCAGCAGATCCTAATGCTTCCACTTGTGGTAAGCGACTTAATGAGCAGTTCAAGCCGCTTTTCTCCCGAGGTCGTCGCCGTAGCGGCCGGCGAGTACGTCGGTCAGCTTGGCGACCTACAGTAGTGAGGCCGCAAAAATCACGGCATTCAAACAGCATCCGCACATGGCACACTACATGCGCATGGTTGCTTTCTTCCCGCGGTTTCCGCGCTGCCGTAGTCTGGCATCCGAGATGAAATCGCTGCGCAAGCCTCAGATCGCTGCGGCAGTGGTCTCGAGCTCATAAAACTGATGAGTACTGGGTTAGCACTGTATTCGCATGGCATTAGCACTGCATTAGCACAAGGTCGACGAATCACTCCATCATCGCGCCCAAGTGCGAACCAGCAGTGGAACAGTGTCGCCGGGAGAACGTTCCAGGGCAGCGGCCACATGACCTTGACCAACTTCAATCACGGCATTCGAGAAATCGAGAGTCTTCCTTCTTGCAAACTTCGATTCCAATGCTTGCGGTACCAAGCTGGGGTTTCAGACAAGCCACTCAAAGTCAGGGATGTTGGCTGCAGACTCTGCCGCTTCACATCACCGAACAGGCGCCTCGTTTCAAACACCAAGCTGCGAGAGCCGCCTATCAGCAGCTGTCCCAGCCCAAACAGGTTTTGGCAATTCAGGCAGTTGCAAATTGCGTGCAAGAACACCTTCAACCTAAGGTTGACAATAGCAGCAAACGAGATGTTACGTCTCTTTCATCTTGAAAGCAAGGGAAGGCACAGGACTTGCTCAGAGCGCCCAGCAGCAAGGCATGCGAGCATGGCCTGCAGCGCTGCGCGGCACTACTGAAGCAACGACATCTCGGCTTCAAGCTTCACGCTCTGACGCAACAGTTGAGAGACAAACAACGCCCAAAGGGTGCAACGATGCGTATGGCAACATGGCATCTAAAGCCGGGCCGGATGGCTGTGTTGGTGGCGATCACGGAAGCTTCCAGCCGCTGCATACCTCAGGTGCAAACTGGGCATACCACTTGCAACAAACAGGAGTTCGCGCGGCAGATCTGGCGCAAAGCATGCCAGACTTGGGAAATAACATTAATAAGATTAATATTATGTTACTAATATTTATATTATTACTATTCATAAAACTAATGAAAAATCGATGAAAATATAAAAACTAATAAACCTTAATCATAATAATAAAAAATACTAATATCAATAATATTAGTCAGATCGACAATATCAACAATATTATTAGTAATAACATTAGTAAGGCATTAGCCGCGGTAGCAGAGAAAGCAGCAAGGAACCCGAGAGTCCAGCCAAGTCCCTCACACGCAGGGGGTGAAGCAAGAAGCTTGCCCAAGTGAGGGTTTAGGGTTTTAGGGTTTTAGGGTTTTACGGTCTTAGGGCTTTAGGGTTTTAGGGTGTAGGGTTTAGGGTTGAGGGTAATATGAGAGTAGTCTTAATCTTGCTTAAATAGGAATATGAGAGTAATATGAACACTGCTTAAATAAGAGTACTGGAGCAATATTGAGTAGTTAAGATGCGAGGTATCAGCACAGGCCGAGAGTAGTTTGACAGACAATCGCTGTAGTTGGAACGTGCCAATGGACAAGTGGCACATTATAGGCAAACGCATAAAAGTAGTTCCCCGCACAAGTGCCCCCGAGCGATGCAAGTTAGGCTGCCCGAAACAACTTGTCAGAACGACTTCCGAGCAATGTGGGGCACCGACACTTGCAACCGGGTCGCCCATGGCCCTCAGTAGCTCCGAGACCCTGCGCCAGGAACCCGTCCGCCGGCAAACTTCTAAAACCTTCGCTTGCGAAGGAACTCCAGGGAGGGTTCAGGGCTGAGAAAGCATGCTACAACTGTCTTAGACTCGGGGGGGGGATTTCACTTGGTATGATTGTGCATCGAAACCAAACATGCTGCGAAATGACCCCCTGGATGGTTTGAAGCATCATCACAAGGGCCTGAAGGCTGACAGGATCTCAGATAAGATCCACCAAAGGATGATCCCTTGAAAGTCCCGAAACCTGAGGCTGTTTCAGGCCTCCCCCCGATAACAAAAAAGCACAAGGTGAACACACATTTCTGCCATACTCGTTAAGTTAGCTTCGCCAGAACGCGCAGAAAACATCAGTTTTCTGCTCCGTCCAGCAGGTCATGCACAGTATACACCTGTACCAGTGGCAGTGCCCCCCAGAGCCGGGAGCGACATGCAGGAGGCACCGAAGCAAACCAAAACAACATCGAGCCAGTCCAGGATCTTCAGGCCAAAGAGCTGCGGTGTAGGAGACCTTGGCTACTGTTGAAACTGAGACTTCTATCATTTTTTGCCGCTGTTGTTGTGGTTGTCGCTGTTGTTGGCGACAGCGACGACTGGCGACTGTCGGCGGTGAGATGGCTCAGCTTTAAGATGTTAAGTCCCTGATTTGCAGGGGCAAGACGGACCTGAAGGGTAGCTCTTGTTTGAAACCTGTCTCGGGACGACACATGGTGGTGCAAGAGAGGGTTGGCTTGAAGGTCCGTGAGCCTGCTTTTACAAAAATCATGGTGGGGGTCTTCAGATAACCTTCCTGGCCCAGCTTCATTGACGACTGCTTTCACACGAATCCACGGTCCTGATGGCGGATGCGGAGCGGCGTCATCAAAAGGGCGCATTGATAGGTTCTGCTCGAACAAGATTGCTTTCCCGAAGATTGAAAGTGCAGCTGAGGTGCTGTTCCGGGACGAATCCCGGAATCCATGCAACGGTACAGAAGCAGCAGCGCCCGGCGCCAGGACCCGACTCCTGTACTCAACCCTCGTGAAGGAAGCGTTCTACTACACTGCACACTTCCACCTGCCACGGCTTATCTAACATGGTATCTTGATGCAGCCTTGGATTTGGATTCTTGAGAACTTCTCCTACAGTGATCCATGTGGTCTTTAGCATGCACGTGGTCATGTGCAATGATTCATGCACTTCCATCCTGTCCTGCATGCACACATGCGCTGATGGCCGAGCTTAACCTTGGCACTGGTTGTGGGTGCCAGGTCCCGCACCCGATCCCCAACGACATGTCCAAAATCCTAACCCTTCAAGAGCTGAAGAACTGTGTACGTCGAATCCTCCACCCTGCACCCGGCAATGGGTTCTGTCGGTGAGCTCCATGCCCCAAGGATCGATTGAGAATTTTGGCATCGGATGCTGTTGGGCTACTTCAGGAATCAGGGATCATTGACTTGGGCCTTGCAGGGGTCTTCTGGGGGGCGGGCGCTGCAAAGGAAATCTGATAACTCCACACCGAGTCTGGGGAACCCATGCAAAACCCATAAGCCTGAAAAGTGAGCCCAGGCAGCAGCACCAGCCCTGCTGTGGCTACGCTGCTCAGCGTGAGCAATGCTCGCCGCCATGGACCAGCTTTTTCGCAGGCCTCAAATCGCCGATCCGCTAACTTCCACGTTCGGCGAAACCGCGCGGCAGTTTTCTCGGTAAGTCGGCGAATTAAGGACGACCTTATCCGAAACATCGGCCACTTGTGAGTTGCAAGTTCGAGGTTCTAAAGGAATCCTGCTTGCTATGCACCTCCAGAAGCCTAGCTGCCCAGCCAAGAACGCCCTGTGAATCAACATGCGCGTGATGTGACTTTAAACTCTTGTAGCTACATGAGGCATTCATGTAGCTAACGGTAGCCAACGGACGCTTGCCATCGCTGCCCAGCTCACCTTGGCAGCTGCAAGCAACAGTCTTCTGTTTAGAAAAATGGAACTCCGGAGCCAAGGCTCGCCGGAACCTAATCCGAAGCCGTTTTTGGGAACCTGGAACTCGGCCTGTTCTGTGTCTGCGTCAGCGGCCACAAAACATGCAAGACTTGCCGTTCGCTGTCCCAGGCGCATCACTGGGTTTCCAGCGACGTTCCCCTGCCATGCCGAAGATGCGCAAAGCGAACTGCCACTGCAGACCCTTCCTGAGCGATGCCACGACACGCAAGATTTTATATCCCACTTAGACAAGATGATTTTGGCATGGCGCCAAAGAGACGTCTCAAAGGATGTCTTCTTGCACATGGCAAACCAAGCGTCTCGCATGCTGAAATGGCCGGGTTGAAGCTAGCAGCACCAATATCTCCGGGCCTGCAGCACCCAGCAACACATACTTCATCTCCATAGATTCTATGTGCCATCAGCCCGCTGCCCGCCTCTCGTGAAAATGTCTAAAAAGTTGAAGGGCGTTCTCCCAGCGGCTCAGTTTTTCCTGAGCGCAGTGAATACGCACAACGCCCATACCCTTGAAAGTTTATGTCCAGAGGCTGGCCGCTTCGGATCGTGAGTTCGTAAGGGCTGGTGTTCACGATAGTGTATAGGTCCCCTTGGTCTGCTTCTCCCCGGCAGTCTTACGAGCACGTCTATCTCATGTCGGGTCTGTTGGGTACCTGGAAGGTGACAGATCATCGATAGATCGTGGAGGGGTGACCATATATGTAGATATGTATGTATACATATATATATATATGTATATATGGCTGAGCTCCAATTCTTGATAACAAATTGCCGACAGCTTGAACGCATAGACGGTATTGCCGAGCATGAAACACAATCACGAAAATACGAAATCCCTTACGTCTACTCACAAGGCCTCTCGGTCTCTCCAAGAGTCGCAGGAAGAAATGGCTGTTCGTAGACAAACAGGATCCCAGGGCTTGCGCAGGAGCCGCGGGCTCCTGGGCTCATGCCCACTCTGTGTCTCTCTCACTTTCAGCATAAGGTCATGCTCCAAGTAGCAGGGCAAGCAGCGACAGGGCCTCCACAGGACATCAGTCTCTTACAATCTTGCCCTAGCTGCTGAACGATCGTCTGATGTGGCCTCTGGTGCTGCTACGCGCAAGCCAAGAACCGTAGATTCTGGACGCGCTCTCTTCAAGGTTCTCTTCAAGGAAGGTCTCGCATATTCAAATCTGAACCACCTCGTTGGACTAAATGTTGAAGTGGGTGCAACTGATAGTCAATTCAAAGCCAGGGTGTTAGAAACTCTTGAAGCTGGACTTGCTGATGAACAGCACGGACTGAAAGCAATGCCAGAAAAGCCTACCAGGAACGCCGCATTTGCAGCGCCACTCCGATGCATGTCTA